AGTTATACAAGATGTTACAAAATAATAATATGCACAATCATGGACCCCGTCGGGCACGGCAATCAATTAATTACAGAGGGAGAGCGACACCTTTGATTACATAAAAACACTAATAAGTACCATAGCTGACTATTACAATTTAGAATTTATTTATTATCTATCTATAATAAATTAAAATAGGTATTAAATTATCACTTAAGAGCGTGGGAATGTTTCTGATATCGTGGGATTGTAACTTAGTATGTGGGAATATTACTGATATCGTGGGATTATAACTTGAGAGCGCGGGAAGGGAACGATGCAGTAATTTTTTTTTTCTTAAGAAGACTGTTGAAATAAAAACAAATTTCATATAAAAATATTTTTATTCTTAGTTTTTATAAATAAATAAATTCACATCATCTATCCTTCGATTTATCATTTGGTTATTACAATCAAAGTAACACGTTATACAAATATACGACATTGATTCGGTAATTATGCCTAACGGCTTACGCAAAGAAGTCAATTAACTTTAAGTTTGATTAAAATTTAGCCTGCAATAACTATAAAATAGGACACAACTTAATTTATCATTAAATTTAATTGACGTCTTTAGAGTGAGGTTGCAATATTGCTTTTCAACCTAATATACACAATCGAGGTAGGTATGTAGCACATCTGTCACTTGATGTATTTATAAACCAGAATTTTATATTGAACGTAATGGTTTCAAACTAAATTCTGGTTCTTAATTTATGTTTATCGACAAAGACTAAGGAGTTATAGCCAATTCTTTCTCATTCCGGCCGACATGAGGCAAAGCGACAGGTATTTAAAAAAAACAGTATTGTGTACAAATGGCTCCATTCTGTACTATTGTATTCTGTTTATTGACATCTCGAATAAACTATGTTAAATTTATTGATTTTACATTAAAATAATTATTAATGATTTATATAAATGTTATATTGCATGCCGATAAGGCAGAATATGGCTGTACTTTACTAAAACTTGTGTGTAACAACTTTATAACCTATATTCGCAATAAAGATGATTTGATTGTACTAGATAAAACAGTAGCTCAAGCAAAGAATGTTGCAAAATGAGGGCTATCGCGTCTGAAACCGCCGCTAGAGGCGCTTGTGTTGCGTGAGGTCTCCGAAATGTCAAATGCTATTATAGCTTGTGGGTCGACTACGCGGTTTTTTTGAAGTTATACTTCTTTAGCCGCGTTATGAAAAAATTATGAGAGTGAAATTTTAAGATGCGCGCGCATCACTGTAACACAAAAGTAACATAATGAAGTTAGCCGCGGGCGCGTTATAAAAAAAATCATGTGAGTGAAATTTCGAGATGCGCGTGCATCACTGTAACACAATATTAACACCATGAAGTTGGCCGCGGGCGCGTTATGAATGTTAGTGTCTAATAATGGTGGATTATTAACCACTTAGACATCTGTTCGAAAGGTACTTTGAACGATCCACGGAGCTCCATAAGATGATCGCGTTGTCAAAAACAATGTTGGCACGCTCGTCGCCTCTGATCACTGTTTTCATATTTATAATATTTATCCACATGTTTCTAGTTTCTATATAGACACAACGTGTTTTAGTTACTTCCAAGTGCTAATTACATAAGGACTAATAACTTAAATTCAGTAGTGATTTTAATTGAATATTTTGAATATTTATTTAATTTTTCAAATTAAAACTGAACTTAATTGACGGTGTTGACTATCCTTTTCCAGTCCTTTTATTATTTTATTGTAATTATTAATTATTTGCATGCAATTAAAAAATATTTTTAATGATGCTAAAGAAGTATAACTTCTCACGCGCGTACATAAGTTACACGCATCCATTTTTTCTAATTAAAATAATAGTTGTGAATATTTGCTAATAACTCAGACTTATTATGGCAAATATGAGTTACGTGTCAATGAATGTCACTTATTTAAAAGCGGAGCTAAGAAAAAATATTGTCCTTCTTTTTTCCGAACAAAACGGGACTGCGCAACACTGTGGCATGGGCGATTATGTTTACAATACGATTGTTTTGTATTAAAATATGATTTAAATGTAAACTTTGATATCACGAGCGTGTTTACTAACTTTAAAAGCTACACTTCAGGAACTCACTCAACAGTGGCGCCATCTGGTGAGACAAAAAACGATAGCCCTCATTCACATAACAAATTTAATATCATGCGGTCACTTTTTAGGGTTCCGTGGTCAAATGGTAAAAGACGAAACCCTTAAAGATTCGTCATGTCCGTCCGTCCGTATGTCACAGCCACTTTTTTCCTAAACTAAAGGAACTATACTGTTGAAGCTTGGTAAGGGGTTGTCCATTAATCACGTGATCAGCCTATTAATGTCCCCACTGCTGGGGCACAGGCCTTCCCTATGGATGGAATAGGGAGATTAGGCCATGACCCATCACGCGGGCCCAGTGCGGATTGGTGGGTGCTAACGACTGCAGACGCAGCCGGGACCAACGGCTTAACGTGCCTTCCGAAGCACGGAGGAGTGAGAGATAGTAAATTTTTGGTCACCCATCCAATGACCGACCACTGCGAAAGTTGCTTAACTTCAACGATCGCAGCCGAACGCGCTAACCACTTGCGCCATCGAGCTCCACCTTATACCTGTATTTTATAAATATTTTGTAGGTACTAAAATACACGTGATATGTGATGGGGGGGGGGGGGGGGGGGGGGGGAGGGGGAGTAAAAATGCCAAAAAAACATCACGCGATTAATGGACGGCCCCTAAGTAGATTCTGTGAAGACTTATACATAAAAATACAAAGAAAACAATAAATTTTGTGGGTTCTAGGGAGAGATCTAGTAAGTAGTTAATACGTTATAAATCACAAATCAATAAAAAAAAAACAATTATTAAAACATCGATCAAAGTTACAAGGAACTACAAGAACTCTTATACATATTAAGAAAAGTTTACTAGAGAAAAAAAAATGCTGCCTTTCAGCTTAAGGCTAGGAAAATTTCGACGCGGCCATCGGGGCCGTGGTAGCATAATTAGTTAGTGCATTCGCCCGGATTGCGAAGGGTTGGTTCGAGTCCTGTCCGCTGCCTGGTCCGCGCGGATTTTTTTCTAGTAAACTTTTCTTTAGATTTAGACATCTAGCAGTTAAATGCTTAAAGAATAAATAAAAACATAAGTTTTATATTATGTTACTTTCTGCTACGGAACCTTTCATGGGCGAGTCCGTCTCGCACTAATCCGCTTTTAAAATTAAATTTATTGTTTGTTATCGAATACATATTCTGTGAACATTATATTGATCAGAAAATAAGTATTTCTGAAACTGTAAAACGAATAGGGATGATGACTAATTTTTTTTTTCTTCGTTTATCAGGTAGATTATCAAAAAGTATTGGACGCGTATTTTTTCTTTTGTTCACATAATATAAACATTGCAGAGATATATTGATTTGAAAAGTCGCATGACGTCACGTTTGTGTACACTTATAAGTGAAAATTCACCCAAAAGTGACGTCACGAGCCCCTACTCCCAAACTTTGACGCGCTATAACTTTGTCATTTTTTGGTTGATTGCCCAAAGAAAAAATACGTGTCCATTATTTTTTGATCATCTAACTGACGGACTAAATAGAGTTTCGTTTATTGTACTCATCACCCCTATTCTAGATTCTTCTCCCAGAGTTATTTTTTTTAATTTATTCATAAGTCCTTAAGTCGTATACATAAATACAAATCTTAATCTTCGTTTTTTGACGTGACAACGTCTTAAATTAGGTTGCGGCTGGGAGTCACTTATGAAAAAGTGTAACGCTCGGTAACGTTACGATGAGTTTAAGTTTACATGTACAATGTTTTAGTAAACAAAATATATTTCTATAGTTAAAATTTGTGCAATTCTTATTTTCATTCAATTCCTTGTTCCTATTGTGCAATTTAATTATATTCATATCAATAAATATTCTACCGAGAAAAAGACGTTGTCACGTAAAATCTTCGCCCGTAAAACCGACTTTACAGGCAACCATTTTTTTTTACATTAGAATGTCGGTGTGACGCATTCTAATGTTTCTTGTAGTGTTTGGCACGAAATGTATCGAGTTGGCTTTCTCGATAAGCTTCTGTGAGGTAGTCAACACTACAATAAAGTCCTCACGACCACTTGACCGGAATAGCGTATGTTTCAAAGATTCCAATAATTCTTCACAAATCACACCAATTTTATTTCACTATGAGCAAATTTAAGAATAATCAAAATAAGACGCTAACCGCTATCGATGAAATCCCGCCAAAAACTCTGACTAAACAGATTATACATAGAGATGCCATATAAAAATGCCTCAATGTTGCCAAGTATAAAACCGTAATATCAGTGTTGCCATGTAAAATATGACCTAGTCACCATATTTAGGACTCTCGGAGTTGTCATATGATATGACATCAAAATCATTTATTCAGTTTAGGCTGTTACAAGCACATATGAATGTCTAGAAGCTACGCCATCGGTTCGTAAATCTACGGCGGGAGACCTTCTACTGAGAAGAACCGGCAAGAAACTCAGCAAGGGCTGTTTTTTTCTCCCTGTTTTATCATTTACAGAGCCGTCAAGTTGAAAAATGACTTCTGAGATGATTCATGAAGTCACCTTTCATTACATAATGTGAAATTATACATTAATTGTTCACCTGCATTTTGATTGCTGTGTCACACAGTATAAATACAAACAGAGTTATTTATAATAGGTGTAATTAAACATTTACATCTTAAATATCAAAGAAGTTAGGGCAGACTCATCTCCGCTGGCAGCACCCGTTCACGAGCATGACGCCATGAACCAGCCATCGCTTCGCTCAACCATATTTTAGTGATATTCAATAGGGCCCATTTGCCATATTAAAATATGGACATATTAAATTGGACAGTATTTTCTAACAGATCCTTTTCCCAGCGGCTCCACATTTAATTCTCCCTTATAAATGCCTTAACACATCCTAAGCCAGTGTTACCAGATTACGCGGGTCCCGGTTGGTGTGGCAACATCATGTCGTGTGTTGGCAACATCGATGGCAACATATCCCGTTTCTGTTTACGCGATTTCTTCGGCTGCAGTTTAATCTGTGAACCAAGGCGGCGACTGTAAATAGTTACTTTAAAATTATTTTGATACACAAGCAATGACAAATCTATAGAACACTAGCTGACAAACTTCGTACCGCCATAAAAATAGGGGCTGGTGGTAGAAGGGTGGAAAGGAAATGGCTAAAAAACTGCCCTTAACGTGTATAAATATTTCGCACTAGCTCGAACTTTACAGTATTTTTTTATCAATTGTTACGAGTTTATTATTCTCATACATCTTTCGTGAAATAATCAAATATTTAAAAGTATAAAAATTTACTTCATGTCTGTTTAAAAAGCAAAATATTCCGTTTCACAAAATAAATGAATAATAAATGTACACAATAAAAATATTTGTGTAAGTATATCGAAACGAAACAATATTATTTGTAAACTCCTTCAAACTATGACATATTTGGCCCTAGTTTTTATTATAATAAATCACTGAAGGCCTAAAATAATAGATTTTATTATTCTTATCTGGCTTGAGACAAGGCTGTATGACAATTAATCCTTTAATTTTTGCAAATGGCCAAATAAAACATCACATATTTCCTGCCAGGCCGACGATAACAAATTACTTGTATTTATTTTTGCTTTAAAAAAACTTTTTGTGAAGAGTTCATCAGAGAAATGGGAAGAAAGATTCTAAGAAAATGCGAAATTGATGACTCTGTAAATAATTGGCAACATCTTTTATGAACTGTAGTAAGGTAATGACATAGTAGGAGTTCTCATAATTATCAAGATTGTGACTTTATCAAAAGTTCCTGAGCCTTTTTCAAAGAAATTATAAATACTTAGCCATTTACCATTAAATATTACTAAGTACAGTATTTATACATTGCCAGGGCAGTCGCTCATACAAAACTTTATCATGTCCTTTAGGGCATATAAAATTTCATTACTAATATTGTGTTACTAATATTGTGACACGAGAATTTATATATAAGAGATTTTCAATAGGGTATTTGACAGTATTAAAAATGTGCCTATTGTTAGCATCTGTGTTTAGCATGAATATAGGCAGGGGTTTTTACTATTTTTACAAAAAAAAATATTCATAATTTTACTAAAAAACCCACGAAAAAGATAATAGTTTTCTTATCTATTGTCACGTGACCCAAAACGCTTGGGATTGGCAGAGACCAAAATGACGTCACACGCAAGTAAACTTCCGGTTAAAGTGACATTACATTGTATCGTTTGACGTTTTAATAACAGTCGTGTGACGTCACACACTAGTAAGACGCCATATTGTCCAGAGAAACGTTTTCGCGGCAACTTGAAAATGGAGTTTTTGATTTGATTATTTTTACTGAAATACACAACAGAATGATGAATATCCACTTTTTATGGACTCCATAAACATTAGTCAATAACGTGAGATCGATTTCTAAAACTTGTCAAATACCCTATTGATGCAGGTGTTGGGCAAAATGACAGGATACAAGAGACAAAGTTCATTACAAACAGGATGCACAAAACAACAGGACACCTGATTAATTAGGTATTGAGCATCAAGAAAACAATTTAATTATTCATATTAAAACAACGATTGTTCTAAACAACGAAACCTGATTAACGTTTCCTTTTACTGGAGGTTGATTATTATTGAAACCGGATGTTAAAGTGTGGTGTGTAGAAAATATTTAGTCAATAAAATTCTACAAAAGTATTGCAGCGTGGGAGTGTAGTGTGGTGTTGGTTTGTATGTAGGGTGTAGTCTGTCAATGTAATGAAGCAGTGCAGTGTATGAATGTATTGAAGCAGTGCAGTGTAGAAATGTATCGAAGCAGAGCAGTGTAGAAATGTATCGAAGCAGTGCAGTGTAGGAATGTGTTGAAGCAATGCAGTGTAGGAATGTGTTGAAGCAATGCAGTGTAGGAATGTATTGAAGCAGTGCTGTGTAGGAATGTGTTGAAGCAGTGCTGTGTATAAATTAATTCAAGCAGTGCAATGTAGGAAAGTGTTGAAGCAGTGCAGTGTAGGAATGTATTGAAACAGTGCAGTGTAGAAATGTATCGAAGCAGTGCAGTGTAAGAATGTATTGAAAAAGTGCAATGTAGGAATGTATTGAAGCAGTGCAATGTAGGAATGTACTGAAGCAGTGTTGTGTAGAAATGTGTTGAAGCAGTGTTGTGTATGAATTACTTGAAGCAGTGCAATGTAGGTATGTATTGTAGCAGAGCTGTGTAGGAATGTGTTGAAGCAGTGCAGTGTAGGAATGTACCGCAGCAGTGCAGTGTAGGAATATACTGAAGCAGTGTAGTATAAAAATATATCGAAGCAGTGTAGTGTAGGAGCAAAGTGAAGTATGTCGCGTTTGCTTGAAGTGAATGAGTGTAGTGTAGTATAGTTACCTTATGATGCACCTCCCTGGTGTGCCGGTAGAGGCTGGAGTACCATCCGAAGGCGGCGCCGCATTGTCCGCATGTGTATGGGGTTTCGCTCGTATGCATCGCTACTATATGATACTTCAACTTTGCCGCGTTCTATGTACGTAAGAGAAGAATATAGTTATAATTTTTATTATTTTAGAGCATGTAACTGCTTGATGTTTAAATCTAAAGAATAAATAACTAGAAAAAATTCCACGCGGACCAGGCAGCAGACGGGACTCGAACCCTCACCCTTCGCTATCAGGGCGAATGCACTGACCAATTATGCTACCGCGGCCCTCACGGACCTATTTCTTCTTTCAAATGTTTAATACTTGTAAAAGTATTCATTTGACATTGTGGGTTACTTATAATGCGAAGAGATGGCGCTGCCTTGCAGCTTAAGAATGGCTACAAGTATTTCGACGCGGTCTAATTTTCTAGTAAACTTTTCTTTAGAATTACGGATTTGCTAATATTAATGAATTATAATCTATATGAAATCAAACGAAGCGGGTAAAATTTTCGCTGTCTTGTCTTCTCTCAAGAGCCGTTGTAATAAAAAACGATTGTTGCCGACAACGGCCGTCGGCCGCCGTCGTGATCATTCGGCAGTGTTCGGCGGTTTGCGTACTGCCCGCGCGTAGTTTAAGAAATCAGAAATCAATATATCTTTATTCAAATTGGATGTATAGTACAACACTTTTGAATCGTCCAAACATTTTTTTCCTACCACTCGTTATAGGACATATTTTTAGCTGCGGAGAAAAACGAGCGAAAAAAAACTCCACAACATTAAAAGCATAATGTAACAACATTTACATTGTAACATCATTATGTTGTTACAACGTCAATACAATCATGATTTATTTAATATAGAACACCTGTTGGAATGATTGGAAGCGCGAACAACGGGCGTACTCCACTCCGGTCATTAACACTTAGCCGTTTACCAGAATTCCATTGGCACTCATATTCGGGCTAACGACCTAGTGTAACAGCGCCATTATTTTATTTACTCGTAAAATATCGAGAAGCGAATCGGATGCTCGTGCCTCTATATCGCTACGCGAGCCTTCATCATCAGCCTAGTAATGTCCTCAATGCTGGGGCACAGACCTTCCCTTGAGTGGAATAGGGAGATTGGGCCCACCACGCGGGCCCAGCGCGGATTGGTAGGTGATAACGGACCCAGCGCGGATTGGAGGGTGATAACGGACCCAGCGCGGATTGGTGGTTTTTTTTCTATCAACAAAGGAGATTGCTCAAATTGGCCTAAATGCACAAAAAATATTGACATATACGGTAATTCTTGGCGTAATTTATAATTTAATTTACAGTTATTAGATTTCAACGGACACCTTTGTTTAATATATTTACTTTAAAAAGGACTTTTAATTTTACCGGTTTGGAAAACATACGAATCATTTTTAATGGCTATGGGTGTAGTAACATTCAGCCAAAGACTGATCGAAGTTGTTTATATAACATAAAAACAAATCTATTTTGTAAAGATCGATAAAATAAGTCATTTTTTTTTATTACACTGTGGTATTAATATCCACAACTATATTATCATTTTCACTAGATGCAAATGTGCTTAGACAATTATTATAGATGGTAGGCGACATCATAAAGTCTATTGCCATACATTTTTCGCCAAACACCTCCATAAACACATTATAATCTGTATATATGTAAGACTTTAAGGTATCTATGGGCCTACGTTCCCTGACTATAAATTAATAAATAAATAAAATTATAAGGTGTGATACACTAAAAATCTAAAATATGGTTATCTTAAAAACATAACAAAAATAATGAAGCTACTGAATATATGGCTATAGAACCTTTAGGGCTATAAAATCTCTTGGCTTGCTTTGGTTAACGAGAGTTTAAAAATTCTCTCTAATCTGTGGCTCATTCACAATCATCACACAGTTTCTGTCACAGAGTACCTTATTATAACCGGAAATGACACCTGATTTTAAAAGTTACTAGTAACTTTAAAAACAGGCAACTATCTGTTAATCTACATGCTCTATATACCTGAATCTAATCCATAATTTCGGTACTTGGCTTGATTTCCCCAGTTTACTATATAACTTATTTGTTTTATATTATTTTAATATGTTCAGTGTATATGGTTTATAGAAGTTCTCAGGGGTGTCCGTCAATAATATTGGTTTCTACAGTAATTTATATATAATTTCGAATCTAGGAAACAATTTATCATGATTATTGGTCTTTAGGCCAAACATGTATGGAAGCTGAGCAATCTCCTTTTCAGGTTAGCTTTATGATTTTCAGATCATTGGAGCTAAAGAAGTTTCACTTCAGTCGTGTGGTCATAAGCACACTCGCTTTTTTTTATCGTTTTTTTTTTAAATGGCTTCGCAAGGCTTGTGCCTTTCGCCAATGTCAAGTGTTAAATGTATACAAATACTATAGCACTCGTGGTCAAAGTAATAAGTCAAGTCAAAGTAAGTGGCAGTCAAGTCAATCCCCCTTTCCCCATGTTTCAGTAAAAGTGTGGGGATTTACTGGAACCTCCCCGTGGACTGCTTGAGGGAACGTCGAAAGACACTTTCCGCTATTTTGTTTCACTTGCCAACACTTGTGCATGTTCCCGAACACTTAGTGGTTAATCATCCACCATTATTAGACACTAACGTCCGCCACAACACAATTTTTAATAAGAAAAACAAAACTGCTAAAGTGGCGCTTCCCGATCCCGCCAAAGAGTCCTTTTTACCCGACTGCGCAATGCAAGAGCGCGAAGCGCGACGCGCAGACAGGGTATAGTGTATAACAGTCTATATATGTATGTTTGTTCCTTTGTGGCACACTAGAGACCAAACGCCTGGACCGATTTTGATGATTCATACATCAATCGATTCGTCTTAATCATGAGAGTGCTACTAAAGATATGATAATAATCAAAAATCAATATGGAGACAACTGGGCGTCATATTGTGAGAAAGAAAAAAAAAAGTTGCCGAAATATGTCGAGTGGGGTATCATTGTCTAGATAATCGAAAATCATGTTTAGGTTTCTTACACCATTTTTCATTTTATATGATTGTTTAGGATCCACAACGATTTAAAGTTTTATTAACCACTTGCGCTTTTAATTTTTTATCGTTATACCTATAATTTCTTTTTGTTACCTACTTCTGTTTTTTTTATTATTATAATGGCTCGCACGGTTTGTGCATTGGCCACGACAGGGTAAAAGGTAAGGAAACCAAAATAATGAAATAAAAAGGTTGTGAAACGGAATTTGGAAGGATTAGGATCAGGTAAGTACGTAAAATATATAAAATACATTATATTATTTCTAATAAATTACTTATAATCTTATATTATGTTTAGTTAGGAATTCAGATAGCTTGTTATATATATTATAATTTTTATAATACAATAAGGAAGGAATAGAAGTAGGGAGAGGTACATTAAGGGATATTAATGAATCTATAAAAGAGGAGGAATCATTGAGGGGACACTCGAACAAGATGTGATTTAAGTCCTCTGCTCCAGTACAACAAGCACAAATATTATCATTTACTACTTGTGTTTTTTAGGCCGGTAATAAATGATTTTTCTTTTTTTTTTTCTTTCTTTACTCATGAGATAAAAACCATTTACTGAAAAGAAAATGAAAATTTCAGTTACTCGTGAATCTTCTCACCTGGTATGACTTCCCACATATGTGGCACAAGTTGTCCTTCTTCTTATCGCGATGTAAATTCTGCATGTGGACATAAAGCGACGTATGAGATTTGTACGCCTGTTGACAAACAAATATCTAATGTATATATCTGTAGAAAATATAACTAGAAAAAATTCCACGCGGACCAGGCAGCAGACGGGACTCGAACCCGAACCCATCGCAATCCGGGCGAATGCACTGACCAATTATGCTACCGCGGCTGCTGCCTGGTCCGCGTGGATTTTTTTCTAGTTATATTTTCTTTAGATTTAAACATCAAGCAGTTATATGCTTTAATAAAATCAAAATTATTAGTTTCTTAGGTTTTCACGCACATCATTCATTCAATAAATCAAGTTTCAACGGTACAGATGCACTGATTTATTTATTTATTGACATTTCGCAACCTGAGACATGATTTTATTTAAAAAAAAAAAATAAGTTATGCATGATTTTATTAAAAAAAATCGGATGCTCGGAAAGTTGGTTTACTGACGATAGTTGAACGTGACAAGGTTTTTTTTACAATGAATACATAGTTTTTACAAGTACAAATGTGCTTTGGGCAATTGTTTTACAACTTTTATTTGCAACTTTTAAACATAATTATGTGATATCATTACCTTCATCGCCGCAGTAGGATATTTGACAGTATTAAAAATAAAGTGCCAATTGTTAGCATCTGTGCTTAGAATGAATATTGGCAGGGGTTTTTACTATTTTTACAAAATAAATAAGCTGAAATTTATTTAAAAACCCACGAAAAAGATAATAGTTCTCTTATCTATTGTCACGTGACCCAAAACGTTTGGGATTGGCGGAGACTAAAATGACGTCACACGCAAGTAAACTACCGGTTAACGTAACATTACATTGTATCGTTTGACGTTTTAATAACAGTCGTGTGACGTCACACACTAGTACGACGCCATATTGTCCAGAGAAACGTTTTCGCGGCAACTTGAAAATGGAGTTTTTGGTTTTGTTATTTTTACTGAATTACGCAACAGAATGATGAATATCATTAGTCAATAACGTGAGATCGTTTTCTAAAACTTGTCAAATACCCTATTATCGTTGCTATTAAAGCGGGAGAAACGTTGCGCTTCGTTTCTTGTGCGGAAAAATAACAAGTCCAACCGTTAAACTTGACAGATTTGTAATTACTTCACAAACACAGTGTACATATATATTAAACAGTCACAACACAGCACAAGAGAGATAGAAGGAGAATAGTTAGACTGAATATAAATAATAATGAAGAAACGGAGACTAAGAGAGTCGGTATATGCAATGCAAATGTGAGCGAGCTAAGCCAGAGCGACATGCATTCAATGTTATAGTATGCCGCTGACTCCCGGACCGAACCAACGACCGGTATAGACACCGATCGCGGCGCGCGCCTCATTCGCACTCGCTATACATAAACAAATATGCATGTCTCTTTGTCGAACTCAAAATATTATTTCAACAAAAAATTTTATATTACTTATTAATGAAATTGAATATTTACATTATTATTAATATAGATTTTATATATATAGGTAAAGGTTTGAATACACACGAATTTAACTTTAACAAAAATATACAATTATAAATTAATTTAAGTTAACAACAAGTAGCTACGATTATAAAAGTACGCTACACTATAAACAATTGACACCACATTCACTTTTCACTGCACTTCATACTTGACGAAAACATGTAAATGTATCATTGTATAGCAGCTGTCCACGCGGACGCATCGCTCACTCAAGTAGGAGAGAGACAGATGTCGGACGCTGCCGAACGCGGAGGCCGATTGTGCCTCTTTGTCGCTCGTTGCGCGCTCTCGCTTGTACTTCAAGCCTTAAATGGAACGCCTCAGAGCCAGGTAACGTCGCATGAGTTATGTTTTTCCGTGCGTGCAGTCGGCTCCATCGAATTATAAGATGTTGTCACGTCAAAAAATCATAATCCTGTCGACGCATCCTAAAAAGGATGCGAAACGTCAATAAATAAATAAGTCAGTGCATCTATACAGTTAAAACTTGTTTTATCAAATGTATATTTTAAATTATTTAATATAATTAGAAGGTGACTTCGTGAAAAATGTCATACTAGCGACCGTCTGCAACTTCGTCTGTGTTAACTTTAGACAAACGTCGAAAAAGATAATGTAGTTATAATTTTTATTTTTTCCGCATGTAACTGGTCGATGTTTAAATCTTAAGAAATTATAACTAGAAAAAATCCACGCGGAATACCTACAATGCGAAGAGATGGCTCTGTCCAACAACTTAAGAAAGGTTAGAAAGAATTCGACACGGTCATCATGGCCGCGGTAGCATAATGGTCAGTGCATTCGCCCGAATAGCGAAGGATGCGGGTTCAAGTCCCGTCTGCTGCCTGATCCGCGTGGAATTTTTTCTAGTAAAATTTTCTTTAGAAAAAGAAATAAAAATTACTAAAATTGATAAATTTGTATATCATTCATTCAGGGTTTGCGTAATTCTGATACACGTAAACATATACCCTATAAAATAAGATAAAGATATACACGTATACCCTAGATACACCACGTGCGCTCAAAATGTGTCCCAATCAAGAAGTGCTTGAACAACACTCAAGCACTTCTTGGTACACAGTCACGCGCGGACCGATCGAAAAAATGCAAAAATTAAAAGTACGTACGTAATGTCGTTTTTTCGACAGGTATCTAATCAATGTTTGTTAATTAAACGCATTTGAAACAAATTTGTGTTCTAATACTTCCAACGAACTGATTTAATAGAAAATATTGGTGATATTCCAATGCATGGTCGGTAATATAGCCGTCTCTTTTCCTCGCGGTCCGTACCTGCTATATTGCTAACAGCGCATTCAGAATTGCGATATAGATAGTCACTGAAATAAAGTCTATATTCTTCCGCTTATAGCAACAAGTCGTTAAAAGACATGGTAAATTTTTGTATGAGCCACTGCCCTGGCAATGTATAAATACTGTACTTAGTAATATTTAATGGTAAATGGCTGAATATTTATAATTTCTATGAAAAAAGGCTCAGGAACTTTTGATGAAGTCAAAATCTTGAAAATTATGAAAACTTCTACTATGTCATTACCTTACTACAGTTGATAAAAGATGTTGCTAATTATTTACAGAGTCATTAATTTCGCATTTTTTTAGAATCTTTCTTCCCATTTCTCTGATTAACTCTTCACAAAAAGTTTTTTTAAGCAAATATAAAATAAAAAGAAGTTTTATTTTGTTCAATTAAAGGATTAATTATCAAACAGCCTTGTCTGAAGCCTGATCAGAATAATAAAATCTATTATATTCCTTGGCTTTCAGTGATTTGTTTTGATAAAAATAAGGGCCAAATATGTCATAGTTTGAAGGAGTTTAAAAATAATATTGTTTATTTCGATATACTTCACAAATATTTTTTTGTGCACATTTATTGTTCATTTATTTCGTAAACCGGAACATTTTGGTTTCACAACAGACATGAAGTCAATTTTTGTACTTTTAAATATTTGATTATTTCACGAAAGTTGTATGAGAATAATAAACACGTAATAATTAATAAAAAAATATTGTAAAGTTACTGGCTAGTGCGAAATATTTACACACGTTAAGGGCAGTTTCTTAGCCATGTCCTCACAGGAGCTCACATTTCGAACTGTCTTAACAGTTCGTCGCATGCTTTTAATTAAGACCTTATACATTATGCATTAAAGGTGACTTTCAATGTTGAAATAATGCCTTACATTATTTTTGACTATGCGATGTTACGGAGCTCAGTGGATCGTCCAATGTACCTTTTGGACAAATTTCGGCCACGATTTAGTTCGTAATGTTGTGGGTATCTAGGGTATTCAATATCGTCGGTAACACTTAGTGCAATGAGCAGGACTGACCTTGTGGCACAGCTGGCAGCGGAACCGCACTTTCTGCAGATGCTCCCAGTCCACGTGCTCCCGGAGCCGTCTCTTGTCCAGGAAACGTTTACCGCATTCCGCGCAAGAGAAACTGACATTTGCATGAAAATGAAAATTGATGAAATAAGTCAGTATAATCTTGAAAATGAAAAACGAATGACAACAGACGATATCCATTCTATGCCTAATGTTCAGGTGATTGAAGAATCAGATTTTTTTCGTCTCTAATTATTTAAGAATATTTCACCAAAATATATGTGGATTGATAAATAAATTGGATTTACTGACTGTCGCCATTTGTGATTTATGTTTAGAAAATAAGGACACTGACATTATATGCATCACGGAACACTTCATGAAAGAAGTAGATAATTGTAATTTTCATCTAAATAACTATATTCTGGCCACAAGTTATTTCAGAGACACTCGTAGAGGTGGTTCGTGTATATTGGTTCGGCAAGGCTTTGAGTATGACATTCTTGATGTCTCGAAATTTTGTATTAAATCTGTATTTGAATGTTGTGCATTGAAGTTGACGCTTGAACACCTGATTATAGTTTGTATATATAGACCACCAAATACTGACATAGAATTATTTCTTAATAAATTTGAATTACTTTTAAATAAATTGACTAAAAATAATAATGATTTTAAATGTATAATTTGTGGTGATTTTAATGTAAATATTTTAAAAAGGACCAAATTGACTGACTATTTTGAGAATTTACTTTTAAGCTATAATTTTAAGTTACAAATCAGACAACCCACAAGGCTCAGTAGTCAAACATGTCTTGATAATTTTGCCGTAAATTATAGAGGTTGTAAGAGCGAAGTAGTTGAGCTAGCCTTGTCAGATCACACTGCGCAGTTATTAAATTGTCCTGTGAAGAGGACATGTCCGATTAATTATTGGCGCATAAGAAAACGTGATTATTCTGTAGAAAATATGATTAAATTTCAGGAGGCTATGCAAGCATTAAGTTTTAGTGAGGTCTATACATCAGACGATGTAAATGTTGCCTGTAATATTTTTATTGAGACTGTCAAATTATTTCATAACTTATGTTTTCCCTATAAGCAAATATTAATAAAAAGTAAGAAAAAAGTAAAATGGGTATCTAGAGGTGTTAGGACTTGTAGCAAAAAGAAGCGAGAATTGCTGTGGAGATATAGGTGTTGTCCAACTGAAGCAAATAAACTGATTCTCAAGAACTATTGCCAGCGGTACAAAAAAATTATTAATTTAACAAAGAGGGCACAAAACGATCACTTCATAAAAGCAGCTATTAATAAGTCAAAAGCGACCTGGCAAATAATAAATAAGAATAAAAATCAGTATCCTCAGGAAACGATCCAACATTTACTTAGAGATAGAATGCGAATCTCTGATCCTTTGCATGTGGCCAATATGTTTAACAACCATTTCGTAGACTCTACACTAAAACAAAAAAAATGTAATTCTACGTACAAAATACATACAAAACTTGAAAATTCAATATTCTTGCCTGAAATTACACCAGAAACTGTTAAAAAAACCATAAGATCATTAAAGAATACATCTAGTGTAGGTATTGATGGTATCCCCACTAAAGTAATTAAAGAAAATTTAGACTCTTTGGCTCTTCCTTTAACATTTCTAATTAATTTAAGTATTAACTGTGGAATATTCCCTGAAGTATTTAAAACTTCAATTATTAAGCCGATCTTTAAAAAAGGAGATAAGTCGGATATAAAAAACTATAGGCCTATTGCTCAGTTGCCAATATTCTCTAAAGTATTTGAAAAAATAATACATGATATGATATATAATTTCTTTGAAAAATATAATGTGTTAGTAAATGAGCAGTTTGGTTTCCGTAAAAATAGAAATACTCAAAAGGCAATATATAGTTTACTTGATATAATAAAGACCTCTGTGGACAAAAGACAACATGTTTGTGCCATTTTTATGGACATGACCTGTGCTTTTGACAACGTTGATCATAAGTTACTATTGGCCAAACTCTATGCTTATGGGTTAAGAGGCGTAGCTCTTAAATTAATAGATTCGTATTTGAGTAACAGGAAACAATATACTGTTATAACTAGATTCTGCAAAAAAAACAAAATTATTAGGGAATTTATGTCTCTATGTAGAGATGTAGAGGCTGGTGTGCCTCAAGGTAGTATATTAGGACCTTTGTTCTTTAACGCATTTATAAATGACTTTCCAAATTCTATTGACCATCCCATGATTTTATTTGCTGACGACAGTACTGCTGTGATTCAATGTAATAATGAACAAGACTATGAAAATGACATTAATAATGCTATGGAAAAACTTAACAATTGGATAGTCCAAAATAACTTGTGCCTGAATAGTAAAAAAACAAAAGTAATACACTTCAGACAAAAGATTGAAATACCCTCAGTAGCTTTAAAGTGCAATGGTGAGGAAATTGAATCTGTTACTGAAACGAATTTTTTAGGTCTGCAAATGGATTATCAGGTTAATTGGAAATCTCACACTGAGAAATTATGTAACAGAGTAAGTAGTTCAATTTACGCTCTATACAAACTCTCCAAGGTATCTAATAGGGACACTGTTTTGACTGCATACCGAGGTTATGTTGAGTGTATCTTACGGTATGGAATAATTTTCTGGGGAAATTCTGTGAATAAAACTCTTTTATTCAAACATCAAAAAAGGTGTATAAGAGCGATAAATTGCCTCAAATCGACGGATAGCTGCAAACCATTTTTCATAAGCATGAAAATCCTGACTCTGCCTTCGCTATACATTTATGAAGTAGCTGTTTTTGTGTTATGTAACAATTCTCTGTTTCCGACACTCTCAGAAAGGAACCCAGATAGAAATCATCGTCACTGGAATAGGATTTGCGCTCCTTCATTTAAAACCGTACATGTTAGTAGTAGCTTCTTTGGGATGGCTCACAGAATATTCAACAAGGTTCCGAGTTGTCTTAAATCACTACCGATAAAGACTTTTAAAAAGCGTCTGTTAGCATTATTAGTTGAAAAAGCCTACTATACAGTTGAGGAATTTTTAAATGACAAATCTTGTAATTAAATCGGACATGTCTTTTATAAAAGCAGTTCTCTATTATAAAATTTAGACATATTAAAATTGCCAATTCAGAAATGTGTATTTATTGCTATTTTGGACATTTTGCTTATTTTTCTATTTTTTTGACTATTAGTATGACAACTTTATGGCTTATCAAATTTATAATTAATTTATAATCTACTTTGACCATATCTATTTGTATACCTTAATTAAGGTGGAAATGTAGTGATACTAACAAAAATTTTATATACCATGTATACTAACCTACGTTTCACAAATAAAATTCTGATTCTGATTCTGATTCTGATTCTGATTGATGTTTTTATTTTTTTCAGCATGTAACTGCTTGATGTTTAAATCTAAAGAAAAGTTTACTAGAAAAATTTTTCGGGATTCGAACCCGCACCCTTCGCTATCCGGGCGAATGCACCGGCCGTTATGCTACCGGGGCCCTGATGGCCGAGCCGAACTTTCTCTAGCCTTAGGCTCCAAGGCAGCGCCATCATCGAGATGCAGCAGTTAAATGCTTAAAAAGTTAGAACCATAACTATAATTGCTATTTCTTCTTTCAAATGTTTAATACTTGCAAAGGTATTCATTTGACATTGTGGGTTACCTACAATGCGAAGAGATGCCTTGCAGCCTAAGAAAAGCTAAAAAGAATTCGACACGGCCATCAGGACCGCGGTAGCATAATGGTCAGTGCATTCGCCTGGATAGCGAAGGGTGCGGGTTCGAGTCCCGTCTGCTGCCTGGTCCGCGTGGATTTTTTTATAGTAATATTTTTCAAGGTTTTCAATGTCGTTTATATATAAAATGAATAGAAGAGGCCCCAAATACGAACCTTGGGGGACTCCAGAGGATACGATTTTATAGTTAGACATGAATTCCCGGATTAAAATATATTTATTTCCAAAATAAAGTAAACATTTTAGCCACATACTATATTTATTTCCAATTTTTTTGTAAGCTACTATATTTTTTGGAGTAAAGCTACGAAAATACTATATTTGATAGAAAAATAAGTTGGTGACTCTAGCAGTGACTCACCTATAATCGTTCTCCCCCACGTGTGTTCTCGACATCCTCAAGTGTTGCCTGTAAGTGGCCACAGACGCGAACCACTTGTCGCAAGGGACGCAATGCAACTCTCCCGTGTCGAGTGCTTTGTGGGTCCGCATGTGGCGTCCCAGGTTCGATTTCCATTGGTACACTTTACCGCAACGGGGGCAAGGGAAGCAGTTCTGGCCTTTGTGTATTGTGCTGGGTACGAAAACAGAAGAAATTGAGATTACAATTTTTATTTTTTAACCATGTAACTGCTTGATGTTTAAATCTGGAGAAAAGTTTACTAGAAAAAATTCTTCGGACCAGGCAGCAGACGGGATTCGAACCCGCACCCTTCGCTATCTGAGCGAATGCACTGATCATTATGCTACCGCGGCCCTGATGCTGCGTCGAATTCTTTCTAGCCTTTCTTAACCCACAATATCAAATTTCTTCTTGCAAATGTTTAATACTTGTAAAGGTATTCATTTGACATTGTGGGTTACCTACAATACGAAGAGATGGCGCTGCCTTGCAGCTTAAGAAATACTAGAGAAAATTCGACACGGCCGGGCGGCCGCGATAGCATAATGGTCAGTGCATTCGCCCGGATAGCGGAAGGTTCAGGTTCGAGTCCTGTCTGCTGCCTGGTCCGCGTGGAATTCTTTCTAGTAAATTTTTCTTTAGATAATCACATAAGCTATTTTTTAGCTTAGGGCGTCATCATCGTCATCATCAGTCAGCCCATTAATGTCCCCACTGCTGGGGCACAGGCCCTATGGATGGAATAGGGAGATTGGGCCATGACCCACCACGCGGGCCCAGTGCGAATTGGTGGGTGCTAACGACTGCAGATGTAGCCGGGACCAACGGTTTAACGTGCCTTCCGAAGCACGGAGGAGCTCATGATAGTAAATTTTTGATCACCCATCCAATGACCGACCACTGCGAAAGTTGCTTAACTTCAACGATCGCAGCCGAACGCGCTAACCACTTGCGCCATCGAGCTCCTCAGCTTAGGGCGTAGTAAGACTAGTAAGCTATATTGTGATAGTAACCTATATAAATACAAATATACTATACTAGCTGTGCCCCGCGGTGTTACCCGCCGTTTATTAGATATCTTCCCGCAGTAAAACGTAGCCTATGTGTTAATCCAGGGTGTCAGCTAACTCCATACCAAATTTTATTAAAATCGCTCCAGCCGTTTAGATGTGAAGAAGTAACAAACATACACACTCATAAACTTTCGCCTTCATAATATTAGTGTGATATACTACACTAGTGGCCCGCCCTCGCTTCGCTTCGGTGTAGAGCTGAAGTGTAGACTACAGTTTTTGTTCTCAGGCTTGTATTATACACAATGACATTCATCTATGATTCTTCTTATACCTGCATGCAAAGTCTGAGCCCGATCGGTTTAAAATTAACAAAGTTTCATACAAACTTTCATTCCCTATTTCATCCCCTTGGGGGTAGAATTGATCAAAATCCTTTCTTAGCGGATGCCTACGTCATAACATCTACCTGCATGCCAAATTTCAGCCCGATCCGTCCAGTGGTTTGGGCTGTGCGTTGATATATCACTATGTCAGTCAGTCAGTCACCTTTGAGTTTTATTTAAATAGATAGATATATATGTACTCACTTGAGATGGTATCTGAAGGTCTTCTTGGAGCTAAACATTTTCCCGCACTCGTTACATTTCGGCTTTTCGTCGCTCTGTTTTGGGAGGTCACCATCTACTTTAATACCGTTAGCCATTCCTTTGGCAACTCTCTAAAACCGAAATTGTCATTCGTAAACGATAAAAAACATACACAACAACACAACGCTACAAAAATCGCGGTTTCCCATTAATTGTTAGTTACTGATTCGCCATTTTTTATCAGGAAAAGATTCAACAATACATAGTTTTCGTAAATGGTCTGTAGGAAGGCCAAAGGGGAAGATCTTCCTCCGAGCTGGGTGGTGGTAGCTCGGGGGCCGCGGCCCGACTGATGTTGGTCGGGCATCGTATATATGAAGAGTTAGCTTCCGAATTTCATTTGCGCGATGTAGGCTTCCATACTATTATTGATCGCAGTGCAGGTAACGCCATCTATTGAGGATGGTGAGTAATGATTTCCTCCATCCGTTGTCTATAATGTGGGGCATATAGATGTCGCCGCCACAGGTCCATTTTGGTGAAAAGTAACCAAATATACTTAAAATTTATGAAGACGCAAATGATTTTATGATAGAATTTAAACACTGTTTATTTGTATTGAAACGAAAACAATGAAATCAGTACCCTTAGCACGAGTGTGAGCTCACGAAAACTATCATAGTTTTCGTAATTATAAAACTCGTAATAAGAGTACAGTTCTGTCTCGCTCGCTCGATTGAATGTGTGTGAAACGGCTCGCCGCTTGGCTTGGTGACAAACGGCTAAACTGTATTGTTGTCCTTTTCTTGATAACAAATGGCGAAAAAGTAAATAACATTAATAAAAAAATGGTTGCCTGTAAAGTCGGTTTTACGGGCGAAGATTTTACGTGACAACGTCTTTTTCTCGGTAGAATATTTATTGATATGAATATAATTAAATTGCACAATAGGAACAAGGAATTGAATGAAAATAAGAATTGCACAAATTTTAACTATAGAAATATATTTTGTTTACTAAAACATTGTACATGTAAACTTAAACTTAACACGAGAGACTCATCGTAACGTTACCGAGCGTTACACTTTTTCATAAGTGACTCCCAGCCGCAACCTAATTTAAGACGTTGTCACGTCAAAAACTGTGATTTTTGAGAAAAAATTGTTTTCATAGTTTTACGAATGGAAAGTATTGCCGTAGAATGTGTTATTTGATCTTGAACTATTTGTGTTCTTTATAAAAGCTTCGAAGGCATTTTTTTATAACACAGAATATACGCAATATTGTTATATCGAGTGTTTGAATGTCCAATTGTGACTGAAGCGAATTTAAGCGGATTACTCTTGAGCCACGAATGCCTTGTCTTCCCTTTTTGTTTTAATCTAAGAAGTACTGGTATTTTTTCGCCAGAGGTTCTGGAACAATTTGGCCTACATTGTCGACCCAGTTTTGTTTTTGAAATTCTTTGTAACAAAAGGGTTTATTTCCTGCTTATTTACGGTGTGCTTTTTAGCTGTGTAATTGTTATATTTCACAACGACCAGATTAATTATAATAAATAAATAATAAATAATTCCAACACTCACACCAATTAGCCTAGCCCCAAAGTAAGCACTGTAAGGCTTGTGTTATGGGATACTAGGGTTACGGACAGAATACATATACTGTACTGTACAGAACAGACGCCGCCCTAATTCAATAGTTTAATAATCTTATGTGTTGTAAATAGTAGTCATAGTTAGTTATAAGTGAAATGTAAAATTATTGTTATTTTAATAAAAGAGTTGCGCAACATTCATTTCACGATAGGTAGGTACACATATTCAGTAACACAACGCTGTGCGAGACAGCACTACAGTCTCTCTCGCACAGCGCTAGGATAGGCCCACGGCCGCTATAACGTCGCACAAAGCGAGAACAGAAATAGCACCGTGAGAGAGACAGCATTATAGGCTGTCCCTCTCACATTGCTCCGATAGGCGCACTAGCGCAGTAATATAGCGCTAAGTGCGAACACTTGTGGCCTACATAGGTAGTGACCAAAATAGCCTCGACCTCTTTCACCACTCATCGATACACCACTGCACAAGCAACAAGCGCACTGAAGCTAGAAAAAGGGATTTCATTGAAGCTGCCAGCCCCATAGGCATCCGCACCCCACCGCACCGTATCGAACGGTTATAGGGAAGAGCGCCATAGACGCCGTTCGAAACATGTACATATCATAAGTATATTTATATAGAAATACATATTTAACATCCATGACTGAAGTACAAATGCTCGTATTCATCACACAAACATTTGCCCCCACCGGGATTCGAACCCGGGACCTCTCGAGTCGGCTGCACCATGAAACCCGGCGTACAAACCACTCGGCCACGGAGGTCGTCAAATTATAAAAAAACCTCACTTGGTCGCAACAGACAGTGGAAAGACAAAATCGCTTATACGACATTTTGGTCGAAAATGAATTATAAGATGGGTAGACTATGGAAGGCCACTCTAACGTGTATACACTTTTTATTCGTTTATATACTGGATAATTGAAGGAAACAAATTATTAGGTAATACTTTGTTTTATTGTGCACCATAAAAACCACTTTTTTAACCTAACTTTAATCACAATTCATTAAACTTTAGTTTTATTAAGCTCTTCCAAATGGCCTTGCAAGGAACACTGCTCCAAACAAGGCCAATATTATACATCAGTCGTTAAACTTAAAAATAAGAGTTATAATAAATAATAAGCTCCATTATTTAAGGGAAACATTATAATAATATGCTCAATATATTTTTATCATCTATAAAAAACTCAACGAACTTTTCTTGAACACCATCTTATAACAAAGAATATATTAATGGAAGTTATTTAAAAATAGCAGTAATAAGCTGCATTGCATTGCCAGTGTTTTGTGATGAAATTAAAAACTTTTTTTGTACCCAAAATGGCCTTCTTATGGGTCTGTTCTTTGTAAGGCCACAATGTTCCTAAGAAGGCCAAACTAACAATTATGACTAAGTATGACTCTTTCATATTAATTATAATAAAATAAAAGAAACTACAGACTAATGTTATTATAAAAACTTATCATGGCACATAAGTTGTTATAAAGTTTTTTTACTCGTCGTTCGCTTCGTCTTATTCTCTTTGTCTCCAGTTTTAAATAAATCTTATACTCTTCTTTGCTCCATTTTATCCTTCATTAAGTTAATTAACGGCTCGTCGTCATCCGAAGATCTGGTCTCATGACTCTCTAATTGAGCTTTTGCTTTAATTAAACTTTTGTTTTGTAGTAATAGTTTTTTCGGAGTGATTTCTCCTTTCTGTTCGATATCACCATCAAATGACGGAGAAGTGTATAAATCTGGGACATGAAGTTTAGTCATGTAGCTATCTTTGTTAAATGATTCACTAGGATTCAAATCATGATCAGATACAACAGTAGACGTACTAGGAAAAGGATTGTCGTACAGAGATGGTTGTGGGTCATGTTTCGTGATCATGTGATCATTAACCGTTGTATCGAATTCCAAGTCTGAAGCATCAGTTGAAGAACTGTAAGAAACAAGAACTGGTTTTCGTTTTGAAAATTTCGGAAATGTCGATACTATCTTCTCTTTGAAAGTCGGCGTAGTAATTGAAGAGACGTCAGAAACATGAGCTGACCTTTCATCTAACAGAGACTGAGACGACAATTCTGACACTTTAGATATAAGTAGTTGGTCGATCTGGTGTTCTAACGTTAAAGATCTGTCAGTTACAATCGAAGGAGCATAAGCTTCTTCGGGTATTACATCAGGATCGAGCGGGTATAAACCAGTGGCTTTGAATGCATTCGTAATATTGTTTTGAGTCATACACTTTAGCCATGTTCGGGAGAAAATTTCGCTAAATGCAGCTTTGTTTAAAATTCTCTCCTGAGAATTGCACAGGTAGTTTGAAACCTCTTCATCCCAGTGATGTTCGAAGGACCGATTTAGTCCTTGCGTTGTGTTTGCAGGTAAGGAGTATAGGTCTATATTATTTTTATCTGCTTCTTCAAGAGCCTCATATGATAAATGACACTTTGCTCCATCAAAGATAAGCAGACACTTATCGGGGACTTTATGTTGTGCTAAATGTTGAATGAACTCTACGAATAAGCTCCTGGTCATGCTGCCTTCGGGTGCCATGCTTACTTTTGTTCCAGATGGCAAATTCGTTGCTAATTCTGATCTATGCCTAACCCCTTTGAAGATAATCATGGGCGGTATAGCAATACCCACAGCGTTTACGCACAACGCTATTGTTACGTTATCGGCGTGTTCCGGAGCAACAACCTTTTCTTTTTCGGCCAAAACTACATTTTGTTTGTGGAACGCAATGCGACACCCTTTTTCATGCATGTTGTACAAGCGTTCAGGATGTGCAATTATGTCTAGCGCTTCATAGAGTTTCTTCAATTCTTCAAAATTGTGTTTCACAATGGGATCATTAATTTTTTGAGCTCCAGCTGGATTCATTAGCTGGGCTTTTGTTTTTAATATTGATGGGTTTCTAGACAAAAACATTTTGAGCCATTTGTGTCCGGCCATTCTAGTTGACATATTGAAAGAATGCTTGATTTTAAATCCCTCACAAAATAGAAAGGCTTGTTTCCTGATAAATTTAGGCGTAAGTGTTACACCAACTTTTCCAAAACGTTTGATTCGCTGCGTAAAATCTTCTTCTAATTGTTTTGTGAGAACAGTGGTCTTCCCAATAATTTTAGTGCGATTACCGCTTAGTAAATGGTTTCTGAGGGTGCGTCTTGGAATATTGTACTTTAACGCTGCAGCATTTGTACTAAGCTTATTGTTTTGTACTGCTTCCATGGCACGTCTCAAACTGTCTTCATCCCATGTACTACCTCTTCGTTTTCTAGGTTTTGACTCCGACATTTTTGAAATCTGAAATATTCGCATAAAATTTAATCGTCTGTACAATTACCCACTTATTGTTGTAAAGTTTTTTGCTCAAAAGTATAGACATTATCTTTTGACTATATTATTATGTAACTTATCACATACTTAACCATTTTATCAGTCGGACCACGATAAGTCTGCAGTAAAATAAAACACTTTTCACATGGCAGTA